AAAAAATTATAGACAGATGTAATCCCTGAGAAAATTATTTTTTTTTCTAACGCCGAACAAAGTTTTGTCGCCCAGGTACATTTCTATATATAATATATACCTTTAACGTTTTATGATACTGCGATTGCAATTCTTCCTGCCTAGCATGTCGAACACGATATATCTTCATACTTGTAAAATGGTCCATGTCTAGCCGAAAAATCATGATCATAACTAGTAATTGCATTTTATCGCGTATACTAAATCATTACCTTTACAGCCTATGAAATGTCAAGTGCTGGGGTCATGCCCATAGATTACTACCACTCATAGGGCAATAGATGGCACGCTTGGCAAGCGGGTTGGTTGGTAGCTGCAATATTTTTAGTTGTTATTAGGTACAAGCTGCCGTCCATCGCCTGGTTTGTTTCTTGTTGTTTGTTTGGAATGATATGGGATAGTGGATATTCTTACACTGCCACTAGAATACTTATAATGTACCATTTAAGCTTACAATGCGGTTCACGACAATAGCTTTGCCGATTCGATCCCACGACAGGCGATGGATGCGGATGACTCAGTTCGCGTTATATAGCATTCTTTGTGGGAGAATGTAATGATAATGATGATATTAAAAACAGGTATAATACGAAATCATAATATTTTTCTATATCAGTCTGTTGGCTGTTTCATTGAAATAGACCATTGTTTTACATTTCGCTATATAGATTGAAAACGAAACCGGCAACTCCCACACGTTGTTTGTTTATCTATGATGCGGAGATATTCGGCCTTGGCATTTGAATAATCATGCCGTGGTGTATGACGCAGTGCTTTTGTTTTCTGTTGCTGGTCGAATAGAAGAACTAAATTTCCTTACATCAGCAACACTCGCTGATTTTTATTTTTTTAAACAATTCGGTGGAGATTCGTTATTCCGATCCCCTAAAACAAGCGAGTGTCCTGATTAATGGGGTGTCCGGATTACAATGTGTGAAAGCAAAATGCCTATTTTCATCCATCCATTACAAGCCTTTATAGCCATTCCCAAACATAGGCCTCCCTCATAGATTGCCACATAGGGGGGATTTTGTCAAAATTGCCACTCTTGACAGGCGGGTTGGCAACTGCAGTTACTATCAGAAAGATGTGTCTGCCTATCTCCTGTTTTAGCTTCCCCCTTGTCGCTCCTTGTGGACACCCACGGGACGATATGGGGTAGTGACTAGTGAACATTTTTACACCGCCACTACAATGTACCCCATTTACTGATATTATACGCATGTAACGCAACAACCTACTTATTAACGTCCAAAAAATCAACGTAATCTCTAATTGCTTCTTCTACTAGCAAATCCCTCATAGATTTCTGAGAACTAGAACGCTATTTTTAGATTTAGTACTGAGGAAGTTATGACCGCCCCGTCCGAATTATCGCGTTCACCGGAAAATGCAGTCTGGGTTACCGGGACTACACTGATCTTTTGATATATTTTCTTAATCAAAAGAATCATCCGCGTTATATTATACTCTTAAACTCTTAAAGACTTGTACTCATTAACATTCTTTTTAGGGTTCCGTACCTCAAAAGGAAAAAATGGAACCCTTATAGGACCAATTTGTTGTCCGTCTGTCTGTCTGTCAAGACCCTTTTTCTCAGGAACGCGTGAAAGTATCAAGCTGAAATTCATATCAAATACTCAAGTCTACTGTCCCTTGCAGCTGTGAAAAAATCAAACTTCTAAGCCAACGTAATCAAAAGATACAGCCGTTTATGCCGCAAATCAAAATCTACAGGGTACTTCCCGTGAACTCAGAATCTTAAAATTTGGTACAAAGCAACTTATAATAGCACAGATAAAGGAAAAATTGCGAAAAGCATAAATTTTTAGTTACATCATGTAATAAAAATATTTTTAATAATTTTAAACTTATATACCTACGGATTTGTTCGGAACCCTCGGTGCGCGAGTCGGACTCGCACTTGGCCGGTTTTTTGCAATATCGTCTTGGATTTAATTTTTTTATTGTTTAGTCGGTAAACAGTCCACTGCTGGACACTTTCAAAGTATGAAGATATTGCAACAATTGCCACGTTTGCCAGGCGGTTTGAATGCGATCGTCAAGACGTTTTGTTGCTGCCGTTGTTTCCCGTCGCCTTTGTAGGCAGTTTATATCTGGTAGAAATGCTTGATGGTTACATCATCAAATCAAATCAAATCAAATCTGTTTATTTTGTGAACATAGGTTAGTTTACAGATCTCGATGTACATAATAAATATTAGGTAGGTTCTCTATGTCCCACCAGTAGGTATACAAAATATAAAATTAATAAATGCATCATTAATTAGTAACATTTATAAAAAAAAAAATTCTGATGTCATGTTCTAATTGAAATTATTATATAATAAGTTAGTAATTATGAAAAAATTAAAGATAATAAAGGTACATACAATAATTGTTATCATTTTGTCTAATTGTCATCTAGTATTAAATTGGCACATGTCATGATAGTTATGTAGTCAATGCAATTTAATAATATAATATTTTTATGTCAAAATGTATCATTAAGGAATTCATCTATAGAATAATATGCTTTATCATTTAGTAGCTCAAAAAGTTTACGTTTATAAATATTTATGTTGTTACAATCTCTAATGCACTTAGGTATTTTGTTATATACTTTTGGTGCCATTTCGTATATAGTCTTCTGTAAAAAAAACAGTTCTACTTGGTACTAAATGAAGATATCTGAGAGACGTTGACTTTCCACAAATTTATACAAGTTAATATTACGTTTTACAAAAATACTTGTTTCATAAATATATAATGAGGTAAATGTTAGAATTTTTAATTTTCGAAAATGTGGCTTACATGTGTTGGTGCTTTTTAAATTACAGATCGCACGTAGACATTTTTTTTGCGCAATGAACACATCGCGAATGTTGGGTGCATTACCCCAAAATATAACGCCATATCTCAGGATTGCGGCGACATAGCCATGGTATGCTGCTAGTAGTGGTCTCTGGTTTGCAATTTTTCCCAGTATATAAAGGACGTATGCAAATTGATGCAATTGTTTACAAATACAATCAATTTGAGTCTTCCACGACATATCATTGTCTATTTATGTAGTCCAAAAATTTTTTTCACCTTTGTTTCTTTCATGTCTTGGCCCATATATTTAATTTGTAGATTTATTGAGATATTTTGTTTTATTTGAAAAGTCATTATTTTGGTTTTGTCCAGATTAATTTTTAGGTTGTTATTTTTCAATCAGTCAATAATTGATATAAGACTATTATTAATTTCACTTTCAATGTCATCATAATTATTACTATTATAACTTAAGTGCTGTCGTCGGCAAATAAAGACATTTGGTGACTTACTACTACAATTTGGAAAGTCATTTATATAAATGATAAAAAGGAGCGGGGCAAGAACTCCACCCTGAGGAACTCCGTATTTAATCAATTGTGTATCGGAAGAGTATATTTTTTCGGTTTTCGACTTGATGTCTATTCTGGTAATTTGTGTTATTTGTTTTCTGTCTACTAGATAAGATTTCATTAGTTGAAGCACGTTTCCCCTAACTCCATAGATGTATAATTTGTTTAGTAGTATGTTATGATCAACATAATCGAAGGCCTTAGTCATGTCCATATACATTGCCACAGCTGGTTTCCTACTATCCATGTTCCGGTATATTTTGTCCAGAAAGTTGTAGATAGCCATATTGGTAGTTTTGTTTTTTCTGAATCCCATTTGTTCTTCGTATAAGATATTATTAATTTCCAAGTACTTGTACAGTCTAATATAAATAACTTTTTCGAATATTTTAGAGAAAATCGATAGTAACGCCACCGGTCTGTAATTACTAACATTTGTTCTATCTTCTTTTCTGCCGACTTCCAAAAAGGAGCCGGTACTCAATTCGACTGTATGTTTTTTTTTTTCGTTTTTTTTTTTTATGTGTGTTACCTCAGAACTTTTTTCTGGGTGAACCGATTTCGATGATTCTTTTTTTATTTGAAAGCTGGTACTTCTCGTGTGGTCCCATATGAATTTGATCAAGGTCAGACCAATAGTTTTTAAGTTATTCTTAAATAACTTATATTGAAGTCGGCTGTACAAAATTTTTAATTTTAAATTATTTATATAAAGGCTTAATGACTGCAATTTTCAGATTATCTGGAAATGTTCCACTTTGTATGCAATTGTTTATATTATAACATAGTATAGCCGCTATTAAAGGTGCCACTTCTTTAATTATTTTTGTGTGTATGTTATCATATCCGGTGGTGTTTGTACTTTTAAGGTTTTTAATAATTGTTATAATTTCTTGTGTTGTTGTTGGTTCCATGAATATTGATTTGGCCGATTTGTGACTGCAAGTGTTTTTTGTATTAGGCCAGTTTTTTTTATTAGTCTGTATTTGATTTGAATAATAATTATTAAAATAATCCGCTATCAATTTAGGATTTGTCACATACTGTCTTTGGATCTTTATTCATGATTTAGATCGTGATGGGTTATACTTCAAAACAAGTTCAAATCAGATAATGCAAGTTTTGAATCTCACGACAATGTAAATTTTAAACCTTTTTGTAGTTGCAGAAATAGACCTACTACCGAGCTCCCATCATAGATAGCGTGATGAATTATAATTATTCCAATGGTTCGATCTCTATGTAACACAATAGTGAAAGTCCCATCCAGAATCCATATAGGTTCACAGGTTTTTGCGTGATGCGTGTTCAGACAGACAAACAGATAACGCTTCCAAATAAAATTGTTTTGGCATCTGTATCAATCATATTCGTCGTGTCATTTTTATTGTAAAAGTATAGATTACTCGAGCAACAATTCTGAGACTTTCCTTTCGAGAGATTCTAAGGCAGAGACGGAAATCTTTGGTGTCTAAAGGCAATATCATTTATTTACCATCATGTAGATTGTACGCTCGTTTGTCACCCTTATTTCTATAAATAAATTTATTAAAAATCGTTATTTTTTTCCAGATTCGATAACTACTCCGCAAATGTGATGGTCGATGGCAAACCAATCAACCTGGGTCTGTGGGATACTGCCGGCCAAGAGGACTACGACCGACTGCGACCCCTCTCTTACCCACAAACCGACGTGTTCCTTATATGCTTCTCCCTGGTCAATCCGGCATCATTCGAGAACGTTCGAGCTAAGGTGAGATATAAAACTTACTTATAAAACTACTTATTTAGAGATATTTTCGCGACAATTGTATTTGCAAAATTCGTAATATATAATTCTCCTTAAAGACAGTATCAATTTCAAAAATTACCGGAGCGATATATACTCAAAATTATTTCGTTATTGTAAAAGATAAATAGCAGGAGGGTTCATCATTACAGCCCTTCACAAGTCCACTGCTGAACATAGGCCTCTCCGAAGGAATGCAACAAAACACGGTCCCGAGCCACCTGCACCCATGGTCTTCCTGCATGTCTACCAGGTCGTCACTGCATCTAGGGGGGGGGGGACGCCCTACACTTCGCCTGCCGGTACGAGGCCGCCACTCGAGATCCTTTCTTCCCCATCGTTTGTTGCTTCATCGAATTATGTATCATCCATGTTCATCTTAAGACCTATCCATTGGGAGACACTATTGAGGTTATTGAGCGTGGTGCTTAGGTCCTCCAGCGATTCTGCCATAAGGCGGCAAATCGAAGTTCAGTGATGTACTTGCCATTGACGTTAATACTTTCCAGGCCAGTAGCTTGAAAACGTCTTCTAATTCAACGGTGAAAAGTTTCGGGGATATTACGTCACCCTGTCTTACACCTCTCTGCAGTTGGATAGGTTTCGTACTCTGGTTCTGTACTCGGATAGCCATCGTGGCCCTACTGTACAGACACTTTAGCATTTCGATATACCGGCAGTCAACTTGGCACCGCCCAAATTTCGACACAATCAAAGGCTTTCTCACAGGCCACATACGCAAGACAAAGTGGCATACTGTACTCTTCGGTCTTCTGTACAATTTTCCGAAGGATATGTATGTGGTCTATAGTGATAAAGAATTTTCGGAAACCGGCTTGTTCGGGAGGCTGGAAGTCGTCGATTCTGAGTGCGAAACAATTCGTAAGAGCTCTCGAAAACTGCAGGTAGACGCGGCCCAGAAGGGCAATCGGTCTAGAGAGCGTTGTCGCCTTTCTTGAAAAACAAGACCACCGTACTTCTGCTCCACGCCTGCGGAGTAGTGCCACCATGGAGGACGGGATTAAAAAGCTTCTGAAGGACTTTAAGTACCGGTTTTTCACCCGCTTTCAGAAGTTCCGCTGTTATTCCATTCTCGCCCGGGGACTTGATCGGGCCGTTTTCTCGCTCAGACTGACGTCCGGGATATCATCGGAATAGTGTCGATAAGACTTGCTCTTGGATCGTTACTCACACTTGCGTGTGCCTCTAACGATGATGTATACAGATGCCCATACAACCTCTCAATCTCACTCAACGGAAACTATGTTGCCACTTTCGGTCTTCAGCTTCGACAGTTGGCTCATTCTGGCAGACAGATCTCTGGCAGACAGATCTCTGGCAAAGACTTTGAAGCCCTGGTTCCGCTCGATCGCTTCTTCAAAACAAGCCGTATTGAAGTTGCGTAAGTCCCGCCGCGTGCATTTGGAGATCTGTCTGTTCAGTTGCCTGTATGCTGTCAAATCTAGTGAAGACTGCAGCTTCATTTTCCGTCTAACCACCAAGAGATTAAGAGTGTGATCGGAAAGTTTTTGTGTTCTTCTGCGGCGGGTCTTGCAAAACTTAGCTCCAACCGCATGGACAGTTTCCACGAGCTTCTCATTCATATCGTCCACTGCTTTGCAATCTTCTAGGCACTGAAAACGATTTTGTAACAGAAAGTTTTCTGGGCTTTGGATTAGAGCACGAGGAGGACTGAGCGTTGACTTCATTAGACGTGACCTCTCCAACTTAATATTTAGGTTCACTGTGCCTCTCACCATTGGGTGATCGCTGCCAATTTTCACCCTCACGATCACTGAGACATCACTGAACAGTTGTCGTTTGGTCGTCATAATGAAGTCGATATCACTTTTTGTCGAACCGTCGGGGCTGGACCAGGTCCACTTTCTGTGGGGCCGCTTCTGGAAGAAAGAGTTCATCATAAAGAGTCCCTCTTTCTCCATAAAGTCGGCCAGCTGCTGGCCCCTTGGGTTCCGTTGCCCTATTCCTAATTTCCCTACTTTCAGCTCACCGATCTCTATATTGTGCCTAATTTATTTAAATCTTGCTTCTTCTTCGTTGAAGATAGAATATGGTTTTATTATACATTCATGACTCACAAGAATTACCACAGGAGTTTACTACTATTTCGTTTACGGAGGTTGAGCTTTTTTCTGCCTAGAAGTGCATCTGGGTTTTGTACCTCTCTATTATCTATGTCTACCACCTAGTGACAGTGCATCCACTGCTGTCTAGGTGTGGACGTTGTGAGAATAAATATAATACAGGAGTATCTGGATACAACGCAGTGGGACCCGGAAACAAAATACTTTTGTTACAGCTGCATGAATAGGTTGGCTCAAACGAGGAAGTCACACGCTCGCACAGAGTAGAGTACAAACGAGAAAAAGCAGTATAATGCTTCTGTTTTGTCCTGTGAGTGACGAGAACCCTTAATTTTAGTCCTCGGGGGTGACAACCTATCTGAATTTTGATTCTTAATCGCATAGATGTAGGTGTCCAAGGTCAACAGCATCCACTTTACATCTGCTAGACGGTGTGCCCGTTTATCGCTCTCACTTCTATAAGTAAGCATAAGCTATTATGATTTATTATTTTAATGTCGCAGTGTCTTCCCGTACTTCACATAAGTCTTTAGGAAATCCAACATAATATATTTACTCCTCGAAGGAAACTACGCACCTGTGGCCTCCTTTGTTTGAATTTAGAGCCGACAGATAATACGTTGCTGTTTCTGTTTTAGTTTATAGATTTATTATTTGTATTAACAAATGTATGACTTATCTATCGTATTAGGGTAATTCTGTAATTATAGTCGTAAGTGGATATAATACATAAATTAATAATTTATCACTAATGATAATAATACTATAAGAGAGACTGCTTATTTACCATCCTTACGAACATGTAAAAGAAAATTTAAATTAAATATGATTTCTTGTTTTCAAAAGTGCGAGATAGCTAGTAAGTACTGCAATTCCATCACTACTAATCAAATACCACTCAGTAATCGCAGCAACTGTCAGATTGTTTGTATTTGTTTGTATTGTAGACTGTAGTGGTTGAAGATATTTATTCTGTAATCTATACCAATAACGATTAATTTGTTGTTTATTCCAGTGGTATCCGGAAGTGCGACATCACTGCCCATCGACACCCATCATCCTTGTCGGAACTAAGCTCGATCTGCGCGAAGACAAGGACACTATTGAAAAGCTGAAGGAAAAGAAACTCGCACCCATCACCTACCCACAGGTAAAGCAAAAAAATAATTGAAATATACAGGCTACATGCGTCTACTGTAAGGTAAATGTCTCCTTTCGTTTACTGAAAAAGTGTTGGAGTGGAGAAGGATCGCCGCGCTGCCCTGATGTGTCGTTTCTCGAAATATTTCTGTTTTCTCAGATAGTCAGGTTTCCTCAAGATGTTTTCCTTTACCGCAGCATAAGTGGTAAATAAACGCTTAAAATTGCAACAAATTTTACCTGTGACTTGGGTTGCTTGCCTAATGTGTATGAATTTTAAGACAAACACCCAGCCTTTGAGGCACTTCATTTAAGCTAGCAAAGTGCCTAAGTTATTTATGTTGTTCACTGGACTTGTGGTTCGTGAACACATGTTATTTTCAGATATCAGATCATGCGCTTTTTAATTAGACGACAGTTAATGTTTTTTTAGTGTACTGGATTTATAGTGAACAAGCAGTAAAATTAAAAATTTTGTACAACCGACTTCAATATAAATAAAATGAGAACATCATCTATGTAGTCGAAGTCATTAAACACGCATTATTAGGATAACTCAAAAACTATTGATGACCATGACCACATGAGAAGCACCAGCTTTCAAATAAAAAAAGAATCATCGAAATCGGTATACATAAAAAAAAACATACAGTCGAATTTAGTGGTCCCATTGAAGTCGGTAGAAAAACAAAGTACACTACACATGATACTAATACTGCACAATAAAGAAGTTCATATTACTTTTACTTTAAAATCTAGAAATAAAAGAAAGTATGTTATAATTCTTACGTTTTAAGAAACTAGAAGTTATGATGATACAGCAGATAAGGACAGATCGGACTCTTAGGGATTTCTTGTATGATGGTACTATACTAAAACCCATTCCACCCGAGGGTGGCAGTGCAAAAACCACAATAGACTACTTGATGGGTCATAGGGATTAAAAAGGAGGACAAAAGAGAATCTCTTTGATTACAAATCTTACATACTCAAATTTGTATGGAGCAACAACAAAATCAAAAGAAAAATAATATTGTATTTGAGTCTAGTTTTGAATATCGATATTACTAACTTTTACATTCGCTACATAACCAAGCTAAATCAGTCTTCTGATTTGTATTATGACATGAATATGGCAAGAGTATTCGCGATAAATTATTTTTTCAAATATTATTCGTACTGTATACTTTAATTAATAATGAATAATTTAATTAATAGTATTATGGCTGTAAAGGCAATGTTAAGATCGTAATGGGTTTTGTTAAATTATGGTACCATCCTCAGTATTATCACTTTTATTTATTATAGAATCTTTGAATTGGGTACTCTACTCACATACTGCAAGAAGCATTGAGTACCAGAGTACCAGAGTGATTTTAGTCCGTTTTTGAATTCATTATTATAGGCGACGCGGAATCTAGGCATGTATTTAATCGAGTAATAAATGCCAGCCGTTAAATAGCTATACCGGGGATATGGAGCAGCGTCAATAATTTCAAGGTTTTATTTTTATTACCCATTACTGAGATGGCCAATTCGCTTGCCGTACATATGGCAATTACGATCTTCTTTACCTCGAGAAACCTTCCAAGCTCATAGATGTTAAAAATAGCCTGCTTGTTTTTTTCTTCTGAAGGTTTTCATAGTGTTTTGGTCTGGTTGAAAATGTAGGCTAGTAAAGTTGCACTTTTGCGTACCTAGAGCATGTCAGCCACAATCGTTTCTTATGCACTCGGGACAATATTATACATGATGATATGGATTAATTGGCTTCTAACAGTCCGACATATTTTTCGCAGGGTCTAGGCATGGCAAAGGAGGTGAACGCGGTGAAGTACCTTGAATGTTCGGCGCTGACCCAAAAGGGCCTAAAGACCGTGTTCGACGAGGCGATCCGCGCTGTTCTGTGCCCGGCGCCGCGCGTCAAGCCACCGCGACGGGTCTGCGCGCTGCTCTAAGGCCGGTCCAAGCGTTGAGGTAACAGCAACCGGTTACATTTCCCTCTCACATATTCTCTCTCTATCGCTTTCTCTATATCTCTTTCTCTCTCACTCTCTCTTAAATAAATTGCAGAAGTTTAAATCGACTATTAACTATAGAACATTTAAAGTATATAATGGGATGTCATTATAGTTTGAAAAGGAGCCAACCGTGGCTCAACCATCATAAAAAATAATTTAAAAAGCTTGTGACACTTACACGATAGGATTGTTTGTAATTTATAGATAATAAAAACAAACACGGACATTAACGGCGATAAAATGTTTCTTTATTATCGCCTACTCAGATTTGAACTTAATAAGATCTTCTAAAAAGAAATAAAACTGAATTTGAGGTATACTCATTTACTCGTTTTTATTTTCAATAAAAAAAAAGAATACTGGATTTTCATTATGTATGATTGTCAATAAAACTACCAAAAGTTGTCGACCTAGCATTTTGTGACTTGAATGCAAAAGCTTTAAAATATTACCTGGAACTCCCTCTCCTCCCTTATTTTATTCTCTGCTGCACTGCTCTGTCAATGTGTATATGTGTAATGTTGATGTGTAAATTTAATAAAGATTGTGGTCTCAAAGGTACAGAGAGCCAATATAATGACAGGCTAAGGTGCTCAGTCTTAATCCTTCAATGTCACAACGCAACTGTAGTCTTCTTTGTTTGAAGTTGCTTACTGAATGGACTGCAGTAGACACGTAAAAAATAATGAGCCGATTGAATAATGCTGAGATTTGAAATAATATATATGAGCTTTGTTAAAACTAAAGAACATATTATTATAACATGCGATTGAACACTTATAATATCAGTAGCCCACTTAAGTCCGCTGCTGGAAATAAGGCTTTTGAAGCATTCAACAGCTGGTAAGCGAGGCTTAAATAATTTGCACACTACGATGGCGGGTTGATGAGCGCTATGCCACCTCACTCAAGTGATACAGCTCTAATACGTGATAATATTTCGTTCTGTCGACGCGGGCATCGCCTTATTTTCTCGGTGTGCTACTGTAAATGAGCTTTGCGGTTATGTGCGTGCGTTGCGAGACGCTTGTATGAAGCTTTCGCACTTTTGTTCACTCTATCAATACTGCGCAAAGTTTTTGATAGACTACATACTATCAATTGGTCGCCAGTAAACACGGTACAACACAGTAGGTGGATAAAGTTGACATTTGGATTAAAAAAGCACACTACATATTATGTCATTAATGCCCTTCATAAGTCCCACTGCTAAACATAAAATGGCCTCTCTCTCTGCTGCTCTCACAAGGAATGCAACAAAGCACGGTCCTGAGCCACCTAAATCCAACAACGACGCTTCGCTTACGGATACTAGGTTGCCACCTTCCTCCTCCATTAGTTGTCGATTCTTCGAGCAATATGGCTACCCCATTGCCACTTCAACTTACTGATCCATTGGACTTTGTCGTTTACTCTGATTATTCTGTTGATATAGTGGTTACGAATTCTATATCGCAGAGAGCATAAAACCCTCTCTATGGCTCACTAAACAGCTAAGTATTTTGAGACGGCCAGTAGTGGGATCTACTTACCTGGGGCTTCATCACCAAATGCAGAAATCATCCGGTCAACACACTGTTTTTGTGTTAAACCACTTCGAAAGTCATAATAAATCATCGCTCTTCAATTTTTTCGAGTCAATTCCATTTTCTCAACGACTAAACAAGTTTGACAAAACCTTGTGACAAGACAGAGAATCTTTTTTTAAATAAATAAATGGTATTCGATTTTTAAAACCAAGGACTTTTCAATTAAAAAAAAAATATAACAGGAACAGTGGAAATATTCCATTCCCGATACTTTTAGTGCAGCCCTCGTAGAACACTCCCATACATCCCATCCCATCCCATAGTAGTTTAAGGTGAGATTGGCATTTGGAGCAAATATTAATAAACTTCCTCTGCATTCCAAGACAGATCCTTAATGGAGAGGAAACAGGTAAAAATGTGTAAGAGTTAAATGTAATGCTATATTTTTGTTTCAGATAGTGTAAACAAAGATCAATGCCAGTGTGAACAGCATAGCTATCCAACACAAAACGCACCAAAAGATCCGTCTCCCATGTCTTTGTAAGACACAACAGAGTGCTGTACTAAGTAAAATGAACTGCAATAAATGCATCATTAGATGTTAATCTGTACTGTTTAAATACGCATCATTAAATGTTATGTGGATTGGTGTGAGTGAAGTTTGTATATGTAAACGCCTTTTTTATATAATCTGTCGAAAATTGACTGTCAATGTCATTTATATATATATATATATGTTTATAAATAAGGGCAACAAATTAACTGTTATAAATACTGTAATATAATACTGGCGATCAGTATTTATATCGGATACCGATTTATTGAACTTGTAAGTGCATTTCGAGCATTATATAATTTTAAAGCATAAAGAAATTTTAAATCATTGTTCTAATGCCATTGTTTAATAATCAATTGTTTGATTTTTTTCTAAATTACAATTTATTTATTTGCAAAAGGCGGCATTGTTGTTGTGTTGAAATGTTAAAAAGTAATAGGCTCCTCAAATTAAAACCAGTTCTTGTCCAATGGATTATTATGCATCATTCATGATGTGAAATTGTGACATGAAATTTTTAAAGTATTTCATCCTTAATAAGGTGCTCTCCCTCACATTCTACCAACTGAAAATACATTCCTACTTTGTTGCCGAAAACAAAATTCACCGCCCACCGTTAATTGTTTGAATCACCAAAAATTTTAAGTTTTCGTTCGGCGGTGGTTGTAAATGGAATTGTTGAAATTTGTTTTAGACAGAGATTATATTTTTCGAATTATTATTGCTTATTATGTTTCCAATTGTTGTATTTCATTGTAGGTGTCGCTATAAGTACATTCAGTATTCAATAAGGAAGTGTTTTCAACCTTAATGCTCACACTCATTGTTCTAAAGCGGTTAACATTCTAATTTATGTAATACCCTTTTAAAATATTATTTTAGATCAAATTATTATAAAAATGTAACGGCTATAAAGCTAAAATGAAGTTGATCCACAATTGTTTCCCAATTAAATGATTCTGAAGCGGATGCAATGTCTAATCATTGTTGTCAAAAGTTGTTTTTTATGTCAATTGTCCAGTTTTAAGTTTTTTTTTTTTTTATAAGTAGCTTTTAATACCGGCTATTTTTTTAATTATCTTATTTCCGATAAATGAGATGTTCCAGAATGCAATGTAGAATACATATAATTAGTGAAGGAATACATCGTGAGGAATCCTGCATATCAAAGAAATTAAAAAAATATTTCAAAGTCATGTGAAGCACGCCATCATAATTGGGGCAGCGAAGTTTCTTGTCCTAAAACTTCCAAAATCCTAGCAGTGGTACATATATAGGTTGAAACTTTACTTCATTTACTTGATACTGGCATAAGTACAAACTGTATGAGTACTAGCAAAGAAAGAACACTAATATTATGTTAAACGTAATTGATAATGACTTATGACCACCATAATGAGTTTTTGCCCGACTGCCCCAGAAGGAAGGTAATGTTTTTGAGAGTATGTATGTATTTTTTGCACGCTCATGTAGTCGAAACGGCTTGATGGATTTTAACATATGAGAATTTATATATTGCATCTGCAAATATAAACATTATATAGCCTATTTTAAGCTACATTGTCACCTGAAAACCGTCAACAACTTTCTCACCGAGAAGCCTCAAGACATGATGTGATGGACCAAAGACCGGACATTAACTGAATTATTGTGACCTAAACACAATATCAAAAGCCTTAAATAGAAAAAAAAAGTATAAATTCTTGTTTTGAACCAGCAAACGAAGTCAATTTAAACAAATTGGATAATTAAAAACTATTCTGTGTGATTACCTGTTTATTAATGTAGTGTACAAAGACCTGGCCTAGACTCCCTGCATTTTGAAACATCTCATTTAACGTATTTATTTTAACTAATTTCGATGTTTCCTCGTAAATTGCTATACACATGTCACAAGCAACACACATCGTCAATGAAGAACAGTCGAATTTGTTATTTCGGTTAGAAGTGTGTATGGTGTGATTGTGTCCACAATGGCGATAATCTACTTCATTACTACAACGTCGACATTTTATACATTAAATTATTACACGTCATTAGAAGAATTTTTTGGATATCGTTTTTAATTATTCTGCTTATGAGTGCTATGAAATTAATATTCACGCACTTTGAACTGTCATTGCGTGTTAGTATTAGGTCAAGGAACAGTCTAGTTTTGAACCTTTACATATAGAATACAATCCGTATCGATAAGTCAATACTGATAAATTAATAATCATAATTCTCATTTAAATACTAATCTTACAATGGCTTGATTACGACCAATGAAATATGAATGGGGAATCCAATGGATAATAGTGTGTTCTCTGTTATTTTGGGCATAGGAAGGGGCACAAGGTGACACGTTCCTTCTTAGAAAATCTCAGTATAGTAAAGCAGTAAAGCAGCAGTACAACTAAAATTAAAACTTTGAATCGCCTAGATGCTCCTCACACAAAAATGGAATGCACTGTTTCAAATTTGACTTAATGTTGTTGATTACTTATTTGTTTTTGAGAGACTAGTTCCTCAGCGCTATTTGATTATTGCATTTGCCATTTAATCTATTAATAGCTTCTATATTTGACAAACATTAACGGAGATTTTTTTTGTTTTGTTTAAATGATATAAACGCAAATGTTTCAAGCTAATATCGATTTTGTATCTATATGTATAGGGACCTCAAAGTCGCATTTACGTGAAACCGTAATTTAACCAATGGGTACTGTGAACAACCGCACAACTACTTAGCATTATAAATAGACTACATTGCAATGGACATTTAACTATTGCTCCATACTGCCCTTATCAATTCGATTGCAATTGTGTTAAAGTTTACGAAGGGAGCCATTTTTTGTTGAAAATGTGATAAT